CAGGACAGAGCTGACCATTCATTAGCCCTCTTTCCTTCTGGATCGATCAGCATCTGCTGAGAAGCAGAAGATCATCTTGAAGGGTGACTGATTAGGTGGTCTATTGGGCAGGTCTTTGCCAAGCAATCAGAATGAAAGTTCCTGCATCATTTTCCCCATGACCAAAAGCAATGTTTCACGCAGTCTGGTACCCCAGTGTGTTGTTACTGTGGTAGCAATAACTATTAAAAATAGCCCGCGGCATCCTGGGTACGGGGCAATGGTCTTCCATCATCCGATGGTTGCATCATTCTTTTCAAAACATTCTGCGAAGCTCCTTCATGCTGTGCAGGACAAAGCCTCCGTGCTGGCTCCCGGATGTTCCTGTGCCGGAGTATTTCATCTGGAACCAGGAAAACAGTTCATCTTAAGGCCAGTGCGGAGTGGGTGCTGGGGAATGCTGTGGGTGCTCGGTCACAGAAGGATGCACAGAGGGAGCCTGACTGCAGGGAGATGGCTCAGCGTGCAGGAGAGCTGTCTGAAGAGCCTGCAGCCTGTCCTGTGGAGCACTGCTGGCTGGTCACTCTTTCCACCTCCCTTTTCATCCCCATCTGTTGTCTTACGGCTCCTTGCAGGGCCTCTGGGGTAGAGACCCTCTGCTTTCACTGTGCTGCGTGGGCTCAGTGGGTGCTTTGCTGAGGCTGGGGCCACGCTGGGGACTCTGGCCGTTACAGCAACAAACTGTGGGCACAGTCATGAGGAGGATGCTGAGCTTTGTTGTAGCCTGGGAGTGGTTCTTTAGAGACACCTGTGTTAGCAGCAGCAGTTATTTAGTGGTGAGGTTTATAAAGTAGGTCTGGAGTAAATAACATGATGGTTTAATGATGTCTGAAGGCAGCTCCTGAACACCGCCTCGGAGAAGAACTTAGAAATGACTGTCGCTGCTCCGCGCTTTGCTCTAGGACTGGAGATACAGGCGTGGGCACGGACAGGCGCCTTTCTCAGGCCGGTGGAGACTTGGCGCATCATGTAGGTGAAGCCATAAGCTTCCCAAGAGCAAAACAGCTCAGAGCAGCTGGTGGTAGCTCTGTGGGAGATGCAGCAAAAATCACATGGTAGGGGGGCTGGATCAGGCTGTAGGTGACTTCTCCAGCTTTCCAGCTTAGCCTGGTGAGGTGACTCGCTTCTCCAGCGGTGAAGCAGTAACAGAGACCTCTGCATGCTGCTTGAAAAACAAGGATATGCTGGCAGTGGAGGCAGCTGGGTATGATAGCAGGAGCAAAAGAATTACTTCTCATAGGTCGATATGGGGGTACAGTAACATCCTTTTGAGTGAAGAGCTCTCCTTTCATTGCTTGCTTGTATTTTCAGTGAAAAAGCAGCAGGACCTGTCTCTCTGCAGCTGCATTCATAGAAGAGATGAGAGCAAGGCACTGTCTTCTGACAAACTGGGCGAATGAAATTACACTTGATTTCTGTGCTGCCTATATATTCCAAATTTGACTGTCATTCACTTCTAAAAGATTTAAAATCCAAATTCAGCAGAGAGAGAGACCCAGGGATAGAGGAATAATATGTCGTGGTGAAGACAAAATGCATCAGGGTGCTGTTTTGTTTCTGTTTGGTCTAATCAATCTGGCTACCAGCTTCCTAATGTTTAGACAGTAATCAATGAAGGAAAGTACCAGCTGTTGGATACTAGGAACGTGTTCTTCATCAAACCTGAAATTTTTTTGAAATCTTGTTCAAGGGCTTGCTCATCTATCCATTGAGCTATACCTTCAGGCTAAACAAAATCTTTCTGTTTAAGAACAGTTTGTACTGCTCTGAAAATTACTCCCTCTTGCACCAGGATGATTGTTAGTATTAGAAGAATTCAGAAAGATGTTTTATCTCTTCTGTAAATTCTCTCTTGGTCTGTTTTCCTGCACAACAGGAGCCCCACAGAGGATGACCCAATGCTAGATTTCTCACTTCAAGATAGTGAAAAGTTATCATGGTGTGCTGATACCTGTGTCCGTAGCCATGCGGATAGATGCTGGGATAAGACACAGTGGTGTTCCTGCTGTGTCAAAAAGCACCACTCAGGAGTGCACAACACAAAGCATCTGCTCTGCTGCTCTGTAAAAAGTCTAAGCTTTAATTTCAAGTTCAGGCACTGCTTTGTTCAGGTTGCAGAGTGAAAGCTGTGTCCTGCCACCTGCAGGAAATGTATCAAAAGCATGTAAGAATGACAGAGTTGACAGCCTGTAATAAGATCACGTTGTGTAAATAATGATAGGGCAGACACATTTAGATTCAGTAAATGCGTTTTCATGGCAGCCAAGCATCCCAAACCACACGCCATGGACACTGCCCTGCCAAGTGTAATGCCTAGTGCTATGTCGCTGTTACAGTACAGAGGGGTCTATTGAAAAGCAGCCAAGAGTCTTAACTGAAATGTCACATCTAATTTGACACCCAAGACATGAAGCCTGCAGCCACCCGTGGCCAACCCTGGCCGGTCCACTCTCCGTGTCAGCTCATCGGCCTGGCAGACAGATCCGTGGCTTCCTCCTGACTCGCTGGCAGCTGTGTGCACTCTCCTGGACGCAGCGATTTGTGGGTGTCTGTATTCAGCACGATGCCAAATGCTCTCTGTGGTAGAAGGTGCTCTGGCAAACCCTCCAGCCTTCAGAAGAGTCCTCGGTGCCTGCAGCCAGGAGCGCAAGGGTGGCTGCGTCCCCAGCTCCTCCCTGGGAGAGCAGCAGTAGGAGATGTTTAGCAAATTGTATAGAAACAGGAAGTGCATATGGAGTTAGCATTTTTCTGTGTTGATGGCTTTATTCTCATCTCTGTTGAATAGCTTCTGATGGCTTTATCTTCTAAGAATTTGTCCAGTTGCTCTCTGGATTTACAGCTGTTAGCCTCTACAGCCTCCTGTGGCAGTGTGTTCCAAAGGAAGGAATACTCCCTGGAAAAGTACTACCACTTTTGCTTAATTTCTGTCTAATAACATTATTTCAGGCCCTCAGGTTCCTGTTTTATGACAAATAGTGACAATTTTTTTCCTTATTCACATTTCCCAGGCCATCCATGCTTCTACAAACCTCTCCCATCTATTGCCCATATGATTTCTAGGATGAGAAGTCCCGGTCAATCTTCTTATAAAAGCTGCTTCATACTTTTAATTGTTCTTTCTGTCCTTCTCTATTTAGCTTCAGATACTTCAGCTTGGTTTTTTTGAGATCAGAACTATATTCAGTATTTCGAGACACACATGGCCATGGGTTTAGGCAGGGAGACGATGATAGTTTTCATGGTGTTTATTTTGCAGTAGTTTGTCATCTTGATCATTGTAGAGCGCTGGCTCATGTTTCCATAAACCCAAGCTCGAGGCACTGTGCATGTCTCCCATTTCTTGGCTCCTGGCTCCTTTGCTTGCCAGTATATGCCAGAGATTCAGTGGAGGGAGAGGCAGTGCTCATAAAGCATATCTGCCTCTGTAACTCTCCTGAACATCAGTTATTTCTGTATGCCAAGTTGTCCATTATGGAAAGCAGATTGTCCAATCATTGTAAACATTGCTGCTGCCCTCGCAACGTAACTCATCTCTGGCCACAAATCCCTACCACTCCAGACTCCGAGCAGAGAAATTGAAGCGATACAGGCATGAAGGCTGGGTTCTCTGTGTGTGAAGATGAGTGAATGACTCTAGAGATCTAGTGTTTTAAGCGTGAGTCAATCCCCAGTGCCCCCCAAAAAGAGGGGGCTCCTTTTTTTTTTTTTTTTTTTTTCCCCTGGAATGAATGTGATTCTGCTGTGTTGTGTCTGGCTTAGGATTTCAGGAGTGCACCCAGCACACATCCAGCGCTCTCCCTGTGTTGCACGGTAGCGCTTTAAAGGCAGGTCCGTTGGCTGGCTGCCTTGCTGTGACCTGTGCAGGGAGGAGGAGGCTCTGCCTTTGCAGAGGGATGCTCTCCAGGCTACGGCCAGGCTGCTTGCTGCACTTGTCCGTTGGGGCTGGCTCTGAGGCTTTAAGCACCGCTCCACAGAAATGCCATTTAGAGAGCATGTCTGATGTTTGCTGTCTGCGTCTCACCTGGGAAACACATGCCTGCAAGAGGAAGAGTGATCTTGGTACTGAAGTTTGAGCTCAGTTGACTGCCAGGAGTTACATGGCTGGGAAGAAGGAAGGTTTGAAAACTCTGGAAAGGAGGGAGCCTTTGATGGGAGTCTGTTTGGGAGGGTGACGTGCTGGCAGGTACTCCAGAAAGGCCCCAGTCTTTGGTCAGTTGATGTGCACAGCCAGGGACACTCCTCTTCAGCGGGGTCTGAGGTGGAAAGCAAAGATTCCCTCGCTCTGGTCGTTGAATGGCTTGGGAAGATTCAGCGTAGACTTGCAGACTCAGGCATAAGCAACAGGGTCCTGGCTGAGGAAATGGGCTTGCAGGGCTGTAATGGGCAGGATGGGGTGGGCCGTGCCCCACCAGTCTCATCTTGACACGTGTTCACAAACCCACAGCAAGTGAGGGTGCTGCTTCTGCAACACAGTGAAGGTCTGTGTCCCATCCTGCCCTGGGCTGTCACTTGTTCCTCTGAACCTCCCTTTCCTGCCCGCATGCCCCCAGGCATCTTTGGGTGTCAGCAACAAGGGATCAGGAGAGACGAAACACTGGGCAAGCTCTGACTGAGGTGGGACTCCTCAGAGTCACCCAAATGACTTGGATGCAGAATTCTCTGTGACTCGAGTGGGATGGCAACCCAAAGGCCACCTAGACACATTGGAAAAATCTCACTGTGAATACTGTCACCTTGGGGATAAACCTCTACAAACACACCCAGAAATCAGGTGCTGATGATGGTGCCATCCTCATTCTGTACACGGGCAGCTGTCAGGATGTGATGAATATGCTGATCTGTGGAACTGCTAATACAGCTAAAAGCTGTAACAGTTTCTTCTGTTACTGGTGGTTTGCTTTGTTCCTTGTACTTCCATCAGCAAGTGAGATGAGCAAAGACTCCCCTGTGCTTTTTTTCAGGTGAAGATATTCATACAAGCCTTTATGGAGCAGCTGTAGATGTCAACATCGGGCTGGCCAGGAGCTCCCTGACAGTTGAGAAGACTTACCTCACACTGTCAAACCACAGATCTGTAGTGATTCACAATCGGAGTGAAATCAAAGTCCACTTCCAGTGGAAGGCTTTTTCTACTCAGGAAGAGGAGGATCGTCAGAAGCTGAGGTTCATTTGAAAGATTCATTTCCGTAAGATACACTGCCCAAGGGTAAAACTAACGTGTGGCCTCAAGAGGTGTGGTGCATTGAATGGTTTAGGACAAGTAAACCATCTATGGCATCAGGTTACGTGTCCCTGAACTTCAGGGTAATGGAGCTCAGTGCCTCCCATTCCAGCTCCATCCATACTCCAGCTGAGGATGGTGTTTTGGGGAGGAAAGGTTGATTGCAGTGACTGGATTTCCTCAGAGAGCAAATTTGCATTTGTGGGAGCCCCAAAACACTGAGATTCAGAGACCCCTTGGTTATGGGGGGTCTGTGAGGCTGAGGAAAGTGTCAGCACTCGTTCCCTGGGACTGCACTGAGTAGCAGCATTTAACATAGCTGCAGGTAGCATAACTGTTATGATATTCACTGCAGCTTCTTCCACTCCAGCTTTGATAAGGTGGCAGGCTCCTTCTCCAGTAATGTGCAGGGTCAAGTGCTTCATTGCCCCAGCAAGTTGAGGCCATCCTGCTGTAGGATATTGAACTGCCTTGCACTGTCCCGGTTTCCAGCACAGCGAGGTATTTCTACCCTTCCTCAGAGACCGGGGAGAATTTGGAGGTGAAGGGTTCTGCAGGGAAGGTAGGGCAGTGCAGGACAGAGCGCATTTGGGCTGCAGCATCCTGTGTCTTCATGATGCTGAGAGATGGGGCAGGTTCTTCCAAGGGTGTCTGTGGTGAAGCTTTGAAATTCCCCTTTCAGGCAGCAGAGAAACACTTAGAGCCTGGGAGGATGAACTGGAAATGACACTTAAAAGTTTGGGTGATTAAGGGAATCCTTGTGGGACTTTGCAGACTTGCATGGGTGTAGGTGTATAGGAGTTAGCTCACAGCTGATCAGGAAAGTGCATTAAACTGGAGCACTTTTTAAGGGCTTCTGAGCCAATAAAGTTCAACATAATTAGGTCAGAAATGCTTTGAACGCCAAAACTAGTTTTCCACTGTTCTATATTTTTAATTACACAGTGTGTGACTTCCATGCAAGCTCAATTTGTTAAAAGAAAACCTCATTACCTTCTCTGGGCACTTGCCTGAACCATTCCTTTACTGCTCACCTCCTCCTCACCTGCCTGTCTCAGATTAGACTCTGAGTGATCCTCTTTCCCCTCAGAAGCAACCAGGTTTCCCCACAGGTCGCTTCAACCTGATTCGTTTCCAATTACATTTGATCTCGTGCCAGTTTGTGTCCTGAGTCTGACCAGGATGTTCTGTTCTTCCTCCTTGCAATCTCAGGGATGGTCATAGCTCCAAGGCCACTCCTGCTGTCAGAGAAGCTTTAGAGATCTCAGAGCAGAGAGGACTTTTTCCATGAGAGGAGGCAGTGCAGGACCCTGCTCCGGGCTGTGACTTCAGAAGACCTGGATCCTTAGAAGGTGTATCCAGGGGTTTGCTGTGTCTCCCTCCTGCAGGACTTTCTGGGATGTAATGGTGGAATTATTGTCCACTGATGGAGGTTGAGTTGGGGGTTGCTCATTGGTGGTGGGAAGCCCTCCTCATGTGCAGGGCTGTAGGACAGCCATGGAGAAGCATCTCCCACTGCACTTCAGGGGGCCGAGCCAAAGCAAGTACTTTTGGTGCTGGTGCCAGCCTTTGCCCAAGGCTCTGTCTGTGTACAGCTAGTAACGTCCATGGCTGTATTTCCTTTCGAACTGTATTTGAATTTAGCTGGGTGATGATTGCTATCCTGGTTATACTACATTTCCTCGAACTGCTGCTACACATGGAGCCTTCCACTCATCCCCCCCAGAGTTGTCACCTGCTGGTTCTTCATGGCCGAGGACTGGAGCGTGCAGAGGAGACAGCGATATGCCAGCTAGGAAGCAACTGCTCTGTAGCAGTGCTCCCTTATCTCTTGGTTGTGATCTTTAAACTCTAGAACGGTTTCTGCTACAGCTGCCAAGTAAGGGAGAGATGAACTGTGTCAAAGCCCTACAGAGATGGCCAAAAAGAGGAAAAAGATAAGGTGGTTCAAGGCTAGACATAAGGGTTTGGATTTAGAGATGCTGGTCCAAACTTCTTTAGTGGGTGATTCCAGGCAAAGTGCCTTCCCCTCTCAGGACCTCTGTTTCCATGCACATAAAGCATTGGTTTCACCAAAGTGATGCAATGCCTGAATTCATTGGTTTGCTTTTACAGTGCTCTGGATCCTCTGGTGCGGGGCAGTATAGGGCACAGAGAGCACATTTAGCTTGCTTATCCCTGCAGGTCCAAAGGGGAAGAAAAAAAGAGTGATGTCAGTGGCCTGCAGCTGAAACCCAGCTGCATCCCCCCGTGCCAGTGAAGCCCTGCAGTGGGTGCTCCTTCATCTTGATCTGTCTCCCTCAGGCAGCTCTGTGGTAGGAAAAGCCAGTTGGGGTGGTTGGTGGATTCTGCATCAGTTACGGCAGAGGCTTTGAGCCAGGAGGCTCTCGAGGGCTGCTGGCTTTCAGAAACCTCTTCTGAGCTTGTAAGCGTGGAGTAAAACTACGTGCCGTGGTGGCGACCAGCAAGTGATAATCTGACCCGTGTGGGACCCCGTGGCTCGGGGTCAGCCCCTCGCTGAGCTGCTGCTGATCCTCCCTGAGCGCTTTGCTGCCCCTGCGCTCACACGAGTCTCTGCAAATATGTTGCTCATTAAATTATCTGCTTGGATTGTCTCTCCCCGTGGCTGCAGGCTTCAGAGGCAGAAAGAGGGCAAGATGGATCGTTGTCTGAGGGAGTGCAAGGTGGACTCTGCTCTGCGAGAATGCCATCCCCTTCTCTCCCGCCCCTTCCAGAACCAGTGGGCAAAGGCGCAAGGAGACTCCATACTTTTGTCTGATGATGTGTTCACCCTTGAGCCGCTGGTAAGTGATAGATGAGAACCTCCCTTCCTTCTCCTCCCTGGCTGAAGTCACTTGGTAGGTCCCTGTGTCAGTTGGCTTGATGTGCCGAGAGAAAACACCAGGTTTCTAGTGAGGCTGCAAGAGCTTGTTGGAAAAAGCATCTCTCTGGGCTCCTGGCAGAGCGAGAGGCTGCCTGAAGCTGAGCTCTGCTTCAAGGGCTATAAATTAAGGGCACTTGGTAAGTGTCCTTACACTGAGAGCTATTGATAACAATGAGTAAGGGCACAGCTTACACGTAGTGTGTGGGGATTAACAAAGGACATTAGAGCACTCTCAGTTCAGATATTGACCTGAGGAATGAAATGGTCCTCTGTGGAGAGGCCAAATTCAACCTAAGTTTGATCAGAGAGATACCAATCTCTTCATATAACCTGGACAGATACCATGGCTCAATGTCCCTTCCAGGGTCATCTGTGAGCCTGGACACAAGGCTGGCAGGTTTAAACGGACTTCTTGAGTTTCATGGCGCATAGGTACAGACATTTTTTTGCCTTTTCTGTTTATGCAAGCAAAACCCCATATCCTGCAATCGGCCAGAGCCCTGCTTCTGAGTATTTGCATGGTCTGAGATGAAGAATGCCAACTGTCCGAGCAATGTAAAATCCCATTTCATCTTGGAGTAAATCCTAGGATAATCTCAACCTCTTCTTCCTTTTAAAATAGGGGAAACTAATTTATTTTTTTTTTCAAGGAAGGGGATCATCTCCTCTTCTCAGTTGCTTCTATATCCCATATAAGGCTGAGAGCCACCAATGTTGGCATAGCTGCAGTTTCACGCCACTGTAGCTGACAGCAGCATGATGTGACCAAGAGATTGTGTCAGAGGGGTGGGAATATTGTAGAGAGAGGGAGCTGATCAGCTGAGCATTAAGAGCAGCCTGTGGTTGTCAGAGCTGGTTTTGGAGTGTGTCTCAGGGCTCCTGCTGCTTTACAGTAGGACTGCTACTGCAGAGCACTTTGATTTTTGGCGGAAGGCACCATCTCCAGTGGGAGCCTTGGTCCATCCCACAGCTCCCTGTGGGTTCAGTTATTTATGGAAAGAGGCGGATGTTATTTTGGCACTGTCTTTCTCCTAAGTGCCCTGAGCTGAGAGGATGCACTTTGAGTGTCATTTTAGTACTTCTGTTGCCAGCTCTGTCTTTTTTTTCTTTGACTGCTTTGAGCATTATTTCCTTCCATGGATTGCCTTCCCCCTCTGCCAAGCAAAGCAGGTAATATGGCCAGCAGTTGGTGGTGCCTGGTTTTTCCAGACCAGCTTTTTCTTACTCTGACTGGTGGAGATCTGGCAGATTCTCAGTATTTAGGGGCTGAGGGAGGAGAAATAGGATTTGCATGTATTTACGGTTGGGCTCCTGCAGAGAGATCACTTGTGTAGCTGTGAGTCCCGGTGTGCCATCCCCTCCTGTATCACCATGCTTTATGCTGTAGCAAAGCCAGGGTAGGACAGCTGGAGTGGTTGTGCGGTACCATCGTACATCCACCGTCTGTATTTTATGCCACCTGCCAGTTGCAGCCTGTCTGAGGCCAGAAGTGATTCAGCCAGAAGTGTTGCAATACCATGTTCACAGCACTGCATAGTTTTACATCTGTCCTGGTTACCATCCATGGTGGCTCTCCATGCTCTGACTCGACTGCCATCCTATAGAGAACACGTAGCCCAGGCACGTGGCTGGTTCCTGAGGTGCCTCAAGGCTCGGACACATGTAGCAGTAGCCTGCAAGGGTGGGTAATGAAGCATTTTCTTTCAAGCAGCAGTTCTTTTTTCCCCTGTGGGGTAGCAGGAATGCAAGGAACCTCTTCAACAGCCTATTTTAATTTCCCAGAAGAAATAACTCACAGTATTTTCTGTGAGTTATGTCACAGTTCTTCCCTCTGTTCTGTTGACTCTGAGCAGGCTGTGCCTTACGGAATTATTTGCAGCTGCAGCCCAATAACTCACCATGTCATAGCTCTTCAATTTTTGTGGGGGCTGTCGTTTGAGCTATAAGGGCCAAGTTGATGGGAAGTATCATAGTTACTTAATATTTATGCTGCAGGAGTGCCAGAGGCTCCACTCAGTTCAAGGCTCTTCTAGACAAAGTGGCGAGGATAGTCAGCAGCATGCAGAATGAAAGCCTGGCTTTGTTGATAGAAAAAGAACTCTGTTCATCTCCTTCTATAAGCTCATATTTTCCTTCCTTTGTTGAGTGTTATTACAGTTGTCAGAGGTGCCTCTATTTATGTCAACAAACACACAAGGAACATTTGTAATGCTAGGGATTCAGGGGATGTAAGTGGAGTCTCACCTGCAAGAAGTGAGAGCCTTTAGAAACCAGGCATGCCTCCAAAACTGTGTGACAAGGCTCCCTGGGACTGAGCACCAGTGCCAGGACTCTGGGCAAGAAGCAGAGAGAGAAGACTCTGAGGAAGCAGCAGAGAGCTGCAGACTGGTGCGGCGGGTGGAGGAAGCAAGCAGCCGATTCAATGTGAATGATAGAGCAAGCTTCAACTTTATTGAAAGAAATTACACCTTATATAAGCAGTCTACAATACACTACTTGTAACTCTATTGGATACATTAAAAAAACTACATTATAATATCTCAGCCATTGGGTACATCTAAAAGGTCACATTATAATATCCCAGCCCCTTGTGGCATTTCTGGTATGCATAAACATCTTTCTTGCTGTGAACCTGCTTCCCTCCCAGGGCTGTTTTACTGTCTCACCCCCAAGGTCATAATGCACCCCAACTTATCTCCTTGTTCTCACAACAGTCCCTGTTATCATCAATGTATGCTGGGTTTTTTCCTCTGTTTACCTCAGGTGGCTGTGACCGACTTCTGCAGGGAGCTATGGCCGACCAGCTCCTGCAGGGAGCTATGGCCTTGCTCTCTGCAAGCCGTTCACCAACAGACTGGTAGCATGGCCCAGACTTAAATCCCTGAGCAAGAGCATGACATGGAAAAGATCCTGTTGGTGGAAAGAGGTGTGGAGCTGTAAGCAAATCCCATCTCTTCTTGTCTGAGCCTGTGTTCAGGGACACAGGAGCATGTGCACCTTGCAGAGAGAAACAGGATGCCTCTGTCTCTCAACTCCTTTCCCAGATCATCTGTCAGCTGGAGGAGCCTGCATGCTGGCTGGCTGCTCATGGGTCAGGGCAGAAGCAGCTGCCAGCAAGCAGGAGCCTGTTCTTCTTTTATCCCCAGGCAGGAGCGCTCGTTCTGCTTGGTGCTGCATGCCCCACTCACCGCAGTACGTTAAATACTTAGGTGCACATACAGGTGAAGGGTATAAGAGGCAGCACCTTTATAACGAAGAATGGGAAATTCTCTTTGATTGTTAAATCTCTCCTGACCTGAGTAAGAGTCGTCATGTAGCCATAGTGCTACAGGGATATACGGGAAGGTTTGGAGGCGAGAGGGACCTTTTTCTTAAACTGGCTGGCACCTCTGGAGAAATCCTACTGGATTCACTGGAGCGTGAGCCAGTTTGGTGGCTTTGTTATAGCCCTAATTTAACAAAATGCCTCTACCAGATGCCAGTAAAGGTAAGAGACTTAGAAAGTTCTTTTGCAGCTGCTTCCAAACTCCCCTAAATTTTGTTCATAAGTGTTGCTTGTTCTCTGCTCTTCACTGATGCTCTAAATAAAGGCTACTGGGCTGTGGTTGAAAACAAGAAGAGTGACATTTGAAGATAAATGGTTTGCTGTATCCTTCTGTTTCAGGAGGGAGATATCTGGCCAAATTCTTCAACTGAAGTTAATGTGATCTTTAGACCCCGAGAAGCCAGAGTCTATCAACAAACGGTCTACTGCGACATCTCAGGTATGGCTCCTTTCTCCTGCTTCTGTTACCCTCGGTGGAGGCGCAAGTAGTCTTGCAGCCCCCTCGGTTCTCATGTAGTTGGTAGGAAGGGTAAGTGGTCAGCAGGGTGCTGGCACGTGCCCACTGCCCCTGCGGTTTCCAGGTGATCTCCTGTCCAAGGCCAGCCCTCAGGATGTGTGGCTACAAGCCTGGATCACTGATCCCAGAACAACCAAGGCAGTGAAGGGATAAGTTCTCATGCCGTGGGTTTGCCAGCATTTGCACTGCTGCCAGGTGCCTATAGAGGCCAAAGAGCTACAGAGCTAAACAGCTTCAGTGGATGAGCAGCAAGTCCCTGTAGACCATTTGCCTCCAAAAGGAGTCTTTATTACACGGATGCATCATCAGACTCCTGAGGCGGTAGGAGCTGGAGTAGGTAGGAGTTACAAATGTGCTTCCAGAGCCTGGATCCCCTCTCGCTACCCCGACTGCCAGACCTTGGGTGGCTGAGCCCTGCTGAGCGCGGGCTGTCTGCAGAAGGACCACCTCTGGCCAGCACATGGGAATTGTCACCTTGTGGCTCTGAGTCTGTGGTGCCTCCGGGTACACTGCGCAGGGCTTGCTGTGCTCAGCGGGGTGAGCGCCCTCCCTGGAAATCAGAGTCCAAGCAGTCTGCTAGGCAAGCTTTATGCTCATCCTGTCTGACAGAAGTGCCATCGCGTCTTTTGCTGGGAGCAGTTATCTCTAGCCCACGTGAGCTGCACCTTCTGTGCCCTGGGAGAGGTGATGGCTTTGCTGTGTTAGCATGGGGCCGGGAGTGCCTGCAGCAGGCTGCAGGGTTCGGGTGACCTCATCCTTCCTCTCTGTTTCTGCGTGGTGTTGCTTAAGGTGTTTTTCAAGACTGGGAGAACTCTGTCAGGCTTCCATCCAGGGAACGTGATGGCTTTTCCCCATCTAAGAGGAAGAGGTGTGAGGCCCGTGGTCCTCCAGCAGCCAGGCACCTGTTCTGGAGTGTGCTGACATCACTAACCCAGCTGCTTTGTTGCTCTCCTTACTGCCCTAAGATGAGCGGTACAAATGTCATTAAAAGCTTTTTATTTATACTGTAATTGCACAGGGTTTACTAGGCAAATGCCATGTACAGTCACTACCCAGGGCTTGTGTTCACAAAGTGTCTTCCTGCCCACCAGCTGCAGCTGCTAGAGCTTTGGAAGGAAAGGATTGATTTTCAAAGTTGCACCTGAGGGATTCCTCACTCAGTGCTGTACTCCTGGCTCTGGGTTTTTTGCTCTGGTGATGGGGGTGCCCATTATTTTGCTGCAGTCATCTCCAGGGGTTGTGCCAGGAGAGCATTTTTGTTGCAGAGAAATAGGAAGACTACTTACATGCAACCCTTGAACTGGTCTGAGAGTTATAGGAAACAGAGATGAGCAAGTGATCTGTGTTTAGAAAGAGAAGCCTGCTCTTGAAAAGGTCCTTATGGGCCCTTGGGAGAACTGAACTCCCCCACTGGCTCCTTGGAAGAGGACCTCAAGGAGGTCATTGTAATGACGCACCTAGCCCCCTCCCTTACAAACCAGAGCTGATCCGCTGTATTATCAGGGTGGAGACTGTCCCAGAGTCAAGGTCCCTGAGTGCAAGAAGAGTTTAAAGAATAAAACAGTGATCTTTAACTAGAGAGTCAGTTAATTTTGCTTCTTGATTCCTCTAAGAAGCGTGACTGCCTTCCTCATGCATTTGCATGCCAGTCACAAACGCCTGTGGAGGATGGTTTGCAGAGGGTATATGTCTCTTGCTGGGAATGCTTGGGAGCTTTGCCCAGTGCAGCGCCATGAGTTGTGCAGCTGGATCTCATGCCCCACTGGAAAGGGGCTTTGCTGGCCTCCACTTTTTTGTGGGTGCCTCCATGAAATGCCCAGCAGATGCTTCTGCATGCAGTGATTTACAGAACTAATCAGCACTGTGCAACTTGCAAAGCTGGCAGTTAAGAAGTGATTTGAAATTTGCCCTCATCAAATATTGAATCTCAAAATGAACTTTCTTAGTTATTCATGCAAATAAAGTTGTGGCTCTTGAGTGCTGGAAGGAAGCACATGGTGGGGGGCTCTGACACCTAAAATTCAGTTTGAGGTTTGTCTGCACACAGAACTGAACTGGGTTACATCTTGCAAGACCCTTTCTTAAGCCACTCTTGCAGGGAGAAGCAGAATCCCATGTGATGATGAGTCCCTTAGCTTGTGACAGAACTGTCCTGCATTATGTAACACTGTTTATTGATGTGGTCAGATGAGAATCATGTTCAAAGCCAGTCACAAGGGATGGGGACATTCTGTGAGCAACCAACTGAGTGTCAGAAAGCAGCAGAAGTTAAGGACTTTGGCAGCAGAGCCCTGTGCTGTTGGGCCACTTAGACCCCCAATTTATTTGGAAGCGAGGCAGCAGTGCCACCCTGTGCACCCTGTGACCTGCCGCTGCGTTATTCCTGCTGAGATCCCAGTGCTCGCTCCACAGCACCAGGTGTTGGTTTGGGACCGAGGACAAGGAGGCTGTAGCCCCTCCATCCCCTTGGCCTGTGTGCTCAGGGATGTGTTACGGTGGGAGCATCCCAGGGCCACAGCCCAGCTGTAGCCAGGCCTTGGGCAAAGGCTGGATGCTCCTGGAAGCCCCAGCTCCCATCAAACAGGACGACATACTCTCCCTTTTTCCCTCTCAGCTCCCCTGAATGCTGCCTGCAGTTGAGTCTGCTCCTCCTCCTCTGGGAAAAGCCCGCTCTGCGGTTCACCTGGAAGGAGGAAGAGCAACATTTCTGGGATTTCCTAAAGTTTTAAGCTCAGCGTAGGGGTAGAAGAAAGGATGGTTTCCAGAGACCTTCCTGGAGAGGGTGAGGGCCTACTGCAGAAGGGGAAGAACTGCCACTGATTTTTTGATTGCAGTGGCCATGGGATGTGTGTCTCAGCATGATCATGAACAAAAGCTTGTCCCTTGGGAATCTTTGCCATTGCTGTGCAACCTATCATCTCTGCTGTCAGCTGGGCTTTGTCTGGATCCACTTAAAAAATGTTGAATTCAACAAAAGCTCCCTCGCTCTTCCTTTCTGGCTTGGACATTATCAAAGATCCTCATTCCATGGTTGCAAGATCAGAAAGTCAGCAATCATTGAAAGGGCTGTTCCCAGGAGAGTTTTTTCAAGTTGTGATCAGGTCACTGTGTTATCCCACCTGGGCTGCTCTTTGCAATAGGTAGTAGTTTTGGACATTCTGGAACAACTATGCAGCAGATTAAAAAAAAAAAAAAAAAAAAAAAAAAAAAAACTAGTCTTCAATGAATGGTGAGCATTACACAAAAGGAGAGAGGAATATTTCTGCACGAAAGCTACACTGAAGGTTAGATACAACTTCTGGGCCTTTCTTTTTCCCCTTGTGTTACTTGCTTTCTGTTCAGAGTAGGATGGGATGGCAGGGAGACCCAAGCCCAAATTGGAGCCAGGGTTCAGGCACTTGAGGCTGCTGCAGTGGTTCAGAACAGCCTTCAGACTGCAAGATCTCACCCTGTCATCTTAGCAGGCTTACGGAAGAAAATGAGCATCTTGGAGTTTAGCTATAAGCCTTGCAGTCTCAGTTCCCTTTGCAGCAAGGGCTGTGTGTGTTAGCAGTATGTTCACGGCTTCTCTGACCTCATCAGTGAGGTTTTCCATCACTGTTCAGCATGCTTTAGGTAAGGTGTCTTTACAAAGCTGAGCTCTCGGGAGGGGGGGGATCCTGATGGCTCCCAGGGCAGCAGTGAGCCTCGTGGACCCATGGTATTTCTGTCAACTTGGGTCGTTGTCAGCAGGGACTACTGGACATACTAGGCAAGTCGGGGGGGTTTCCCAGAATCTGGATACTTCTGATGGAAGGAAGCATAGTTGCCCATGTTGTTTGTGATGTCTTAATCCCTGCTTTTTGGCAACCTTCCTTGGAGATCAGCTGAGAGGCTTCATGTGAAAAAATACCCCCTTGACACGTGAAAGCAACACTGGGACAAAAAGATAAATATTCAGAGGCTTTTGTTTCAGCCCTGAATGCAATGCACCTTTGTACTCGGGCTGTTAAAAAGCAGCTGGAACAAATGTACTGAGTTTGAACTCCAGGCCATCGCAGCCACCTTTCGGGTAAGTGCATGCTGCCAGTCCCTGGGAGCTGGAGGAAAGCTGTCCAGCCTCTGGCTCAGAGCTGGGTCTGGCCACGGAACTGGGAGTGCTTCCCCTTGCTGACCAGTCTCTTGCCACTCTTCAGATTTGCTGCATCTCTATGAAGAGCAAAGCATTTCTGGAGATGAACCAAAGGAACTTTCTACATATTTGCCTCCCCCTGCCAATGGTGTCAAGTCTTCTGCAAAAAAATGAGATAGGGCAAATGAAAGAGGTAGAAAAGGAAGCAATACTTTCAAAAGCTTGCCTGGGCAGGGAAGGACGCATTAAGGTGTTTTCTTACCAAAATATTGTGCTCTCTATGCATTTTTAATGGTGATACTTTATTGATTATCATTTTATTATTTTTATTACTTGACAAAATGTGACTGAGTAGACGATACTGCTAGTGCTGTTCTGACTGAAGGCAAACCTCAGCTCAGTGCAGGATCCCTGAGTGCAATTTGTAACTGAGGTGTAAAAGACATGAGAGGAGAGAGTAGTTTTAGGTTACCCTTGCAGAGCTTGAATACGTGAATATCTTTAACAGCAGCTGCAAAATTTTAAAATGCTTCTGTCTCAATTTTTCTACCAGGTTTTACAAGGACAAAAATTAGGAAAAATAAATCCAAAGCAGATAGTTAATTCCATGGAAATGGCATGATTTGACCCTGCAGCAATCAGACACTGTACTGCTTTGCTTTGGGTGGGTTTGTTGGTGACTGACAGTGTGCTGGTACTCGCAGCAGCTGTGGGCATTGCTCACCCAATGTGAGAAGAGCTGAATCTCAACAAGTGCTGTGGGATTGTGTCACTTGTTCGAGGCAGTAGATCTCTCGAGTGTTCAACAAAATATGGCTTAGTTCTAATTTGCAGTTTATTCTGATAATGGTAAAGTCTTAGGTGGTGGCTGTGAATGTTTAGGAAAGAGAAATTCTTTGGAGTAGATGGAGCTGCTGTACACCGCATGCTCATCCTCTCCTGACACGTCTGTTTGAGCAAAGACTAAGAAAGTATCCCATTAAAGAAAAACTAAGAATCCTAAATTACATAGCATAGCAGAGTTGGGGAGTGCTTCTGAAGTTGGTGATAGTGCTGCAACATGTTTGCCCTCGGCAGGATCAGACTCGTCAGGAGCAGAATCAGTTGTGTGATGATTCACTAGTAAAGCTGCAAGTGCCCTTTGTTGCTCTTAGGGACAGGTCTGAATAGACTTGGTGATGCTGAGCAGCTCCTCTGCACTGCAAGTCAAAGTGGGCTGCTCTGCGTCAGTGGAATAAACCCCGAGTGACTGTTTCTATGAAGCTGTCACTGCTTTGCATGAAAAACCCAAAGGCAGAACTTGTCCTGTTGCATTTTCTTTAGCTTCTGCCAAGCAGCAGCACACAGCATCTTCTGCATTTTACAGACATTAACTGGTTAATCAGGAAACAAATCAGCCTTCTGTAAGAAAGGAAGATTCCTCATGTATTTCCCTTTTGCTTTCTTGCTGCTGCAGGTGGTCCTGTTTAACAAAGGAGCCATCAATGCTGTCTTCAACTTGGTCCCTCCAGCTACAGCTCTGGGCTCCTGCTTCACCTTCCTCCCCCAGGAGGGCATCATTTTGCCAGAGGGGCTCCAAGTCATCCGGATCTCCTTCAGTTCCACCATCCTGGGGGAGTTCACAGAAGAATTCAGGTTCAGCGTGACTGGATCCCCTGAGCCTGTGACCTTGACGATCAGGTGAGGAGGGTTATAGGAGCTTGGTGGGCACATCTGTAGCTGTCTCTGGGTAATCATCTCCCACCTACCTCCTTTAAGGATGAAACAGAGAAAAAAAAGGTGTTGTCTAAGGTCTTAGTCTTGGCTTGGATTCTAGCATCCTCACACTAAGAGCCAAGGCTTTTTAACCTTGACTCCGGTCTGAACCTTGCAGTTGCAGCAGCAAATGAAGCGTAATTATCTGCGAGAGGAAATCGTAGAATTGTAGAATAGTTTGTGTTGGAAGGGACCTTTAAAGGTCATTTAGTCCAAGGCCTCTGCAATGCACAGGGATGTCATCACCTCGATCAGGTTGTTCAGAGCCCTGTCCAGGCTGACCTTGGATGTTTCCAGGGATGGGGCATCTACCACCGCTCTGGGCAACCTGTGCCAGTGTCTCACCACCCTCACTGCAAAAGATGTTTTCCTTTATATCTAGTCTGAATCTTCCCTCTTTAAGTTTGAAACCATTACCCCTTGTCCTATCATGACAGACCCTACTAAAAAGCCAGTCACAATCTTTCTTACAAGCCCCCCTGAAGTACTGAAAGGCCACAGTAAAGTCTCCCCAGCGCCTTCTCCAGGCTGAACAACCCCAACTCTCTGGGCCTGTCCTCACAGGAAAGGTGTGCCATCCCTCTGATCATTCTTGTGGCCTCCTCTGGGCCCGCTCCAACAGGTCCACATCTTCCGTGTGCTGAGGAGCCCAGAGCTGGACACAGCACTGCAGGGGGTTCTCACCAGAGTGGAGTAGAGGGGCAGGATCAGCTCCCTCGAGCCACTGCCACCTGTGACCATGCCTCCTGTGCTCTCAATACCAAGTTTATCTCTCAAAGTCTTGGGTTCCTCTGGGAAGCAGCTTTGCCTTCATGGTTGGGGCAGGTGGCCCTGTGACTTTGCAGGACACTGTTTGCACAGAATTTGGCAGCAGCAGGTTCTCACACGTGTCTGTGTAAGGTCCCCGGGGCTTTAAGTGACTATCCATGCTGGAAAACAGTTTGACTGGAGGCTGTACAGGAAAGGTGTGGAGATGCCTGCTGCCCAGTCTGGGTACCCAGGAGCCGGAGTGGATTCCTTCCTACAGGTAGCTCATTCCCCCTTGGGCCACAGCGGACAGAGGGATGGCGTCAGCTTTGGGCAGTAGGTGGTCTGGGCCACCCCCCCTGAACACAGAGCAAGGCCAGCAGAGCTTTGGGGATGGGCCAGCCTGTGTGGCTGCAGCCAGAGGCAGTGTTTTTAAAATCCTCTGTTAATCCATTCCAAATGGATAGCAGCAGCCTCAGCATCACCTCTCATGCTCATGTCTTGGGACAGGCTGTCCTCTTGTGCAGCCACTGCTGTCGTGGTGCCTCCTCTCTGCAGCCAGAGCAGTGTTGACGGGGCAGACGGGGAGCTGTGTGGCAGGTGGTGTCACAGGGGCCCGGGCATCATCTCGTGGGCTGGTGCCATGGCAAGAGATAATCCTCACCAAGCAAAGGGGAGAAGGGGGAGAAAAGCTGATGATGGGCGAGGCAAAGCTCACTTCTCAGGACTGCAGCAGCATGCAAACTTGTCCCAGCTGGTCTTTAACCGCGGGCTGGTGGGATGATGTGGTGTAGGCAGGAAAGCTGGTGCTGGGTGCTCTGGAGCTGTGGGCTGGCTGTGCCTCCTCAGCAACCAGCCTCCTGGGCTGCTGCTGCTGGGAGGCTCTAGACAAAGGCAGTAAAGCAATGGGAGGACTCTACAGTCAACTTTACCAGTAAAATGAGGGAAATTGATTAAAAATAACAGAAAGGTTATTCCTTTGCAAGAGAAGAGTGGTGAATAGTTCTGTTGAGCTCAGTAGAGAAAGAATTGCATTGGCTTTGTGTTTGAAGGGAAAGTGCTGTGCTTTTTTGAAACTAAAAGGGAACATTTCACAATCAGATAATTTATTCTCCTCTGTCCCTCCCCCAAACTGGTCATGGGGTGTTATTGCATGAGCAGCTTTCTCCTTGAGCAAGGGCAGGTTTTGCTGGTAAGGAAGCATTTACCCTTGGATACTGCTTGGACAGCGCCCGCTGCCTCTGCCCCGCAGTGGCCTTGCTCCTGGGGAAGGAAGGAAGGAGCTGTCAGAGGGACGGTTGTGTTTTGGCTTCCCCACAGCCAAATGAAGTCGTCCTTTTTTGCCCAGTAATGCCCTGGCTCCCAGTGCCCAGCACACCCTCCCCTTCTCTGTGGCCACTCTCTGCCCTGTTTGGCCAGCACCCCCCTGGGCTCAGTGCAGACCTTCTGTCTCAGTGAAAGAGGATTGTTGGTCCTTTTTTATTTATTTCTTCCCCATCCTTGTACTCCTCCTCCCTGGATGGTGGCTCCCATGCAGCCCATCTAATGGCAGTCCAGCACACCTGCCTGCTCCCATGCAGCTGTCCCTCAGCAGCAATTCCCATTGAAGTCCTCTCCTCCCTGAGATGGCATCTGCCTCCTTGAGCTCTGTCTTGCTTTTCAAGGATCCCTCTCCAGCCCTTCTGTCATTCTCCAGCCCCACAGCTCAAGCTGTTTGTTTTCAAATGCCTTGAGATGTCCACCCACCAGGTCCAGCTGAGCCTCCCTCTTCAGAAGGTTTTGTGCACTGGATTTCATCCTCCATGGAGAAAGGCTTCTGGTTCTTTTGAACAGAGGCAAGCTGGCTGGTGGGGCACTGGGCTTCAAAGGAAGGAACGGGGATGAGAGTTCAAGCAGTTCCTCTTCTGCCTTGTGTTATCCTTCCTGCTCTGCCAGGACCCTGATCTCCCTTCACACATGCATTACTTAATGCTACTGTAAAACACAGTTGTTGTCAAAACGATTGCCTTTTCCTCCCTTCTCTTGCAAGCTGCACTGTTATTAGCTCTGGGTTGGCTCCTTGCCTGAGCCTTCTGGGCAGTCATTCCAGTTTAACTTCCCAGAGCACAGATTCGGTGCACTAAGCAGAAGTAGCAGTCATTTCCCCACTTGCCTGGCAAGGCTCATCCTTGGCCGTTTCCTGATGTCATCCCCAGTTGTGGCTGGTTTGGGGGTAGTTTTCCATTGTCTCCTGACAAATGCTGTGATGGAAAGCATGTCTACTCCCTTTGATCCATCTAGAGTAAGCTGTTAGGGCTTGGGAGGTCAAGTCTGGTTATATGAGGTCCCTGGAGAGGGAACTTCACCATCAGCAGGGATTTGGTACCAGGCTCATTCTTAGGAGCTGATTCAACTGCCAGAATCAAGAAGTAGTGTTTGATTGAAACTCCTGAAAGTCAGGTTTTGAGTGCTCTTTGACTATGCTGTCAGAAGGTGCCAAGACCATAGGTGATTACTCGTTACTTGGAAACCAACCTTACGAGGTGCTGGATGCTTGTTTCCTTGGTGTTTGGAAAGGGATGCTGGAAAAGGGACAGCAGGGATGGACGCAGGTCCCTCCCGCGGGCTGCTGGGGTTTGTTCATGTGCAGAACCTGTAGATAATGACAGTGGCAGTCCTGTGAGTAAAATGAGAAGGCACTGTTCACTGTGGCCCTTGATTTTTAACTGAGGCAGAGTTGGCATTGATTGTCATCAACCATGAAGTCAATTGTTTGTTGTGCAGCTTTGAGTACTGATTTCAGTGTTCATATACTCCATGGAAACAGCAGTTCCAGCTAAGAAATACCAAAGCAGGGAACCCGTGGCTGGGAAGGCTCGTTACAGTGAGTCCCCTTTTGTGTGGACACCTCTGTCCATCACATTATGGGTGGGGAAACTGAGGCACAGAGCCATCACTTGTTCAGGACCTTCCTGGGGCCAGCAGCAGTGTGGGGGAACACCCTGCCGTGGTGCCCTGTGCTGATCACTTTGCTTTGGCTGCCTGCTGTCCCTATGGGTGCTGTGCTGAGCACAGGGGTGACAGGTTGATTTGAAACCCACCGTGGTTCTGAGAGCAGCTTTTGCCCACCTGAGCGGTAAGGAAAGCTGAACACTTTGCCATTCTCTCTAACAGAGCTAACATCTCCTCTGCCTGTCTTTGTCCCTGCAGGGGCTGTGTCATTGGACCGACTTTTCATTTCGACGTCCCTGCCCTCCACTTTGGTGATGTCTCCTTCGGTGAGTGTGCCCTGGGCTTGGTCCATGGGTTGAGAGCTCTGGGAATTACCAAAACGGAGCATTTTAACATAAGACCATCTGTCACTTGTGTTCTTCCATAGCAGCCTTCAGGGTGTTAAAGCCAGGGATGCTGGTTGCTTAGGCAGTCTTGTGCCATCGTGAGATCAAATAGGACCAAAGGGACAGAAAGTCAGTATTTTTTTGGTGTCCCTGTAGTCTGTTCAGCCACAATCTCCCCATCCTTGGCAGCAGAATGACTGTGAAATCCTTGTCCCAGAGGGCCCAGGGGACGGGACTGCAGCAGAAGGGAGTTTAAGCCACGTACTGGCCTGTAGCTGCTCTGGGTCAATGTTCCTGTTGCAAGGCAAGGATACCATTTACCCACCTGAACTTTAGTGCCAGATGTTAATTAACGCTGTGAGGGCCCCTCGTTGTCACCCACCAGGTAACATGCCCAAGCAGTAGCTCTGAATCAGGCACTGATGTCCTTGGACCATGGGCTCCTCCTTCCCCACCACAGGCCCAGCTCTGCTGACAGAGCAAGTGGCTGAGCATCCAGGAGCACCTCTGTTGAAATGCAGCTTCTGGCTCTCCATCTCAGTCTCACAGAAGGCTTTTTACTGAGATGATTGACAGTTTAAATGTGAAATCAATTGTGGATTGATTGAAGGGCCATTATCATTCTGTGCCCAGGATGCCTCTGTGTTTTCATGCTGTTCACGGAGTTTTTAAGAAGACTCATTACCTTTCCTGAGCCGTTTCTCCCCTCCCTCCATCACCACTCTGCCACTTCTTTATTTCCTTTTGAATAAAACAACAAGAAACACACCAGACAGAAATGTGGATATGTAACAGGAGATTCATCCCCCCTAATGTAGTTTCATTAATAAGGGCTTTTCCGCTGAAGGCAGATATTATATTTTTGCTTCTTTTAACTGTGCTGCTGACTGTTGACCTGCATCTGGCGACTTTGGTCTCATTTGGGACTGTGAAGTCTGTGTTTGTCCTTTTTGTGCTCCTCCTGCCTCCCTACTGGAGTAACTGCTGGAGGTGGGCAGTGGTGACTGTTGTTGGACATGGAGAAACCCCCCGTGGTGCCTGCAGTTGGTTTTCCTCCCCGCCTGTATTCAAATGACACTTGGTGAGCAGGCCACGGGAGATGTCTCCTTCTCGCAGAGCTGGCCAGCCGAGCCAGATGTCCAGGCCAGAGCTAGCTGTGGGCTGATGTCCTGTCTCTGCAGAACACCCCCCAGGTGTGGCTGTGTCACTGGTTTTCCATGAGGGAAAGTGAGTATCACAGCTCAAGTGATGCCAACCTGTGCAGGGCAGTGTGCAGTGTGGAAGCCATGTTCCATTTGTTAGGTGACGTGGAACATGGCTCCTGCTGATTTCTGAGCAAGCATCAGGTTTGCCTCCAGTGCGGGGCTGTGAGTTGTCACGTGCTCAGTCTGGTAGCCCCGGACAGGAGATGCCTTAAGGGTCCTGCCTTGAGAAACTGCGTTAGAGTGCTTTGCATCATGCTGTCGTTCCCAGTTTCATCCTTCCTTCCTTTTACTGCAGCTTCTCCTCGATGACAATACCCTGCTTTTAGATACTGAAAACTGTGGGAGTGTTCCCAGAGTCAACAGGGCATTGAATTTTCAGAATAAATGGTCTATCTGGATGGACACTTGTAAGTGAGAACTAATTGATGCAGGTTTGGGGGCAGGTGAGAGTGCTCCTCACAGCTAGAGAGAGAGAAACTTGTGGGGTTCAGCATCGCCAAGAGTGGGCATTTCCAAGGAAGCAATCTCTGTGATCAGCTTAAAAGGGAGCTTAAGTGACAATTAATTCCTTGCGTAGCTTCTCAGTTAGCTGTACTTCAGATTGAAAAGAGCTAAACTCCAAGCCAGTTTTATCGTAACAGGCTTTTCACACGAGGAATCATGGGACAGTTGGTGCATAAATTTATATTTGTGTTATTTTCCTAGGCTTTCCTCACACCTTGTCGTGTCGCCTCACTAATACCTCCTTGGTGCCCCTGACCTTCAACCTTCGCATTCCTGGGGACGGCCTGGGAGAGCCCAGTGTCAGCAGTTTTGCTCATATGACAGACAACACTCACCTAGTCCGGAGAAAGGGAGCCCAGCGTCACCTCAGGCCAAGAGAATTCACCATAAAGCCCTGCAGAGGGACCATCCGCCCCCTGGGATTCCTGGATATCCAGGTATGGGAAGAGTCCGGCCGTAGGTGCTCGGCGGGTGGAGCTGGAGCTTCACTGAGGGATGGGAGGGCTTTAGCACCGCTAGCTCTGAGCATAACACGGGTAGGATATCTGCACTGGTGTTGGGCTTTTGTTAGATGGGTTACTCTGGGGCTTTTCTGAAGGACCACTGCTTGGTTTCCAGAATCACAAGATGAAGATCATGTACCGTATGGTCAAGTGCAGAAGCCATTCATCTGTTTTTGAGAGCTGCTTGGAGCAGTTTCTTTGATTTAAAGTGGGCAAAGGAAGGGTGAGGACAGAAGGTGGCTGTTAAAAAGAGAGATGTCATTGTATAAAGCACTTTGCTTTTCTTCCCGGTCTTATTTGTCCCCTCCTGATGAGCAGAATGAGTTGTATTCACTGCCTGCTGGGCTGCATTTTGCCCTCAGCTTCCCAGTGTAAAGCTGAATCTGTTGAATTCCAGAGATTGCCTCTGGATTTGTGCTGTTGTAGTTGAGATTAAAAATTAGTCCTTTAATTTTAATACAGTGGGGAGTAGAGCATTAATCTAATCATGGTTACATGTGCCCTGGTAAGTGCAAGGTGTATTTAACAAAGCAGATTTGTCAGAAGACTTTTGTTACTCCCAGCAACTGTGCTCTGCATATGGACCAGCAGAAGAGTTAGGGCAGAATCCTCCCTTTCCTGCCTGTGGAACGAGAACTGGAGGACAGCACAGGTGGACGATGGCTTTTGGGAGTGATGAAGTGATGCTCTTCTCTTCCACCAGGTCACCCTGTGTTCCAACACTCTGCGGAGCTACAAGCTGGTTCTGGTGGTGGACGTGTGCGGTGTTGGCAGGGCAGTGTCGGCACTGCTCCTCACAGCCAGGTATCGGCGCTTTCCTTGCAGCTCATCATCTCTCCTCGTGCATCCAGCACCACGCTGCCTTGCACGTGGTTTGCTGGCTCCATCTCCCAGTGACAAGTGTTGCTTAATGAGGTAGTTCTGCCCAGCTAGATGTGAGATGGGCAGTGTTCTGAAAGCAGCACCTGTGCTCCATGGACAGGCGTGGCCCTGAGCCTTTTTCTAAAGGGAACAGTAATTATATTCATTATTGGCCTGGGTTTTGGTGCTTGAGGTGTAATAAATTTCCAAGGGGCCATCTTTCCTCCTTCCTGCAAGTGGTGGACTTGTGCTGGGTTGCAACCAAAATACAACATCCATTTGGGCTGCAGTGAGCAGCCTGCTGAGAGCTGGTGTCTGGGTCAGTTAATGAAGGTGCATGGGAATGGGAAAGGGGCTTATGGCAGGACTGGTGAGGGGAAGCTCAAAGCAAGATCTTATGAAGGGGAAAATAGTCCTTGATGTGGAAGGTGAGCTCAGGTTTCTCTGCTTCCCTCCGGTTCTTTTGAGCATTAATGTTCTCAGACTTCAGCCAGAAGTTGTTCTTGCTGCAGCCAGATTCAACCCTGTTGTGCTGCGGTGGGTGTCGGTTTAATTCCAAGAGGGATGAGTTCACTGTGCTGTTCCCTCTCCCAGGCAGAGTCATCCAGTCAGTGCCTGGGCTGCAGTTTTGTAAAACAAGTGCAAATGGGGACAGAGAGTGCATGGAGCCGTGGGGTGCAGGAGCTGGGAGAGGGTGATCCCCCACTGCCTGAGGCAGGGGGTGGCTTGTGCCCTCCATCGCTGGGCAAAGGGCTGAGTTCTCAGGCAGGGCAACAGCGGTGTGGGAGAGGAGGGAGTCGTTCTCCCTGAGACACTGGGGTCTTGTGCCCTTTGAGCCTTGGTGAGCACTCGGAGGGAAGGCTCCCCCAGAGCTCACGCCTTGCTGGGACTGTTGGGAGGGTCCTTGCAAGCCTCCTGGGGCAAAGAGCGGGCAGAGCTGATCAGGCAGCTCGGGGACAGGGCACCGTGCGCTGCCCGGGCACTTGGCAGCCTCTGCGAGGCCGAGTCCCGGGGTTTGCCCCACCTTTACAGGGGGTGGTGGAGTCAGAAGCAGTTAAAGGCCACTTATCTCTGTAGGGATATTAAGTGTCTATTTGACAAATGTGTTATGCTCTGTTTCATGCTACTTGGGGAGTAAACGAACTCCACATTCTCTCGTGTCTCTAATTCTCTTTTGGTCATCTCTTTGCTAGATGCATGGTTCCTGCACTGCGAGTGCTCAATCCCGTTGTGATGTTCGGACGGTGCTTCCTAAAATTCCCTTACCAGCAGATGCTGACCCTTGTGAATGACAGCGATCTTCCAGGCTGCTACAGGGTTCTTCCTCAGGTTTGGCATTGCATCCGCCTCCTGCCCTCAGACATTATCAAGAGTTTATTAGGGAAAAAAGAGGGGTTTGGATAAGACCTTGCTGGTTTATATTGAAACCTAAAGGTTGCTGAGAAAAGGAAGCTACCTGAATATAAACTTCAAGAAGCAGTTAAACAGGAAGCTACCTGAATATAAACTTCAGGAAGCAGTTAAAAAGGAACCTACCTGAATATATACTTTAGGAAGCAGTTTAAACTTTTTAGGAAGCAGTTTATATTCTAGTCTTCGGGATGCTTTCACACAGGAGCGCTTAGAGGGTTGTGAAAAGCTTCCGCAAGGACGCTGCCAGCACAGAAGTGGGTGTTTGTGGGTGCAGCAGCTTTTGGACCCTCTGAGGATGCTAAGCCCATACAAGTATCTTGCTTTGTACTGCTTTCTCCTAGGGGTTTTTGAAAATGTGTGTGAATTGCCATTGTGGTAGATCTTGAGGAGTTCAAAGTTTCCTCCAAGGTCACTCCTGTGTGTTGCGTTTGACTCTGTCCCTTACAGGAACACAAGGAGGACGCTTCTGTGTGGTACTCCAGCCCCGTGCCGTGGGGGATTGTCCAGCCTCGCAGCTCAGTGGAGGTCCCGTTGACACTGGAGGCCCAGGTGACGGGAGAGCAGGACACTGTTGCTCATGTTGCAGTGTTTGGGAATGAAGGATCCCCTTTGGTGAGTTCCGGTGGACGTGGGCCTTGGTGCAACTCCTCTTGGTGGGGTGTGAAGCCTCAGGCACGGTTGCTAACTCCAGGGATCCTTCTCGAGAAAACAAGAACTTGAAATATATGCTGGTGTGGACAAGGAAAGAAGGGGGTTGTGTATACACAACAGCTAATGCCTGTGAAACAAAGAGCTTCACAGTCAGAATTATGACTGTTCAGCAGCGATTCTTTATTCGCAGCGCTGGGCAGCGCTGGGGATCGCTCCACCACAAGTGCCACAGCTACTAACAAAGCTCTCTGACTAATATACAGAATTCATTTACGTAGTCTGAGTGTGCGTAGTAAAAATAGACTGAGGGTCTTCTCCCCGCTGGTAGTCCACATCGTCTTCCTCACACTGCCCGCTGGCTGAACTTGAGGTTTCCCATGTCCATGCATGGTCATGGAGTGACCTCACCCGTCCTTCGGCTCCTGTTTGTTCCGAGGGGGTTGGTTTAAACCGGCTCCCAGTCGCTTTTCTTGACACTGGCATCTTCTCAGGCGCTTGTCTTGCGTTCTTAGGTCCCTGTTATCAGGGATGTACTCAGGGAGTTTACCAGGCTGTCCAAGGCCTGTTTTGTCTCCACTAGGCAAGGAGTTACAGGTTTCAAGATGTTTTACAAGTGGGTAAGATGTCAGAGGGTAGTTAGGAAAAGAGTATAAATGAAATTGTATACATTGCAGTAAAATACAGGAAAAATAAAAGCTAGTGAAACACAAGTGATGGTTAACGTTAAAACTAAGCATCCTACTTTACTGGTTTCTATCCATTAACAAGGTCAGGAGGTCTTGTAATCTCAAGTATACTTGCAGCCACTCTCCTTCACCTAGAGAAGAGGAAGGATGGTATCATCCCAGGTGGTAATATAAGTGTCTGACACAGCGTTTAATTATGGCTAGGTCAGTCAGGATAAGAAGGCCAGTCTGAAGCCCAGAACAACCCCTGGGTCTCGTACTCTGCTGTGCTATTAGATGAACAGCTCTGGTGCTTCATTAGACCTTTTGTTTAGGAGCACACAGGGACATCCCTGAATCCTGCTAACGCAAGCGCTGTGTAAGAGACCGTGCTGAAAGTCAGGCTCATTACGTCTGAGAAACACCCGTCATAGCTCTTTGCCAAGAGCCGCAGCCAAAGACTCATGAGTCTCCACACCGCTTGCACCTGGAGCACAGAGATTTTTTTTTTTCTGCCAAGCTTGGGAATGGATGAGGCAAAGCATTCCTGGACTAAAGCCTCCTGAAAGCTGATGTTCACAGTCAGGCATACACAACAGCAGCAATGACCACAAAATGTAGGCAAGAGAATGTTGTCTGTAATGTCCTGGCTTCATCTAGCTGGAATTGAGAACAAATACAGTTAATTAAACTTTCATTTAAAAGGATATCAACTTTTGAAGCAGCTGTTTTAAAATGTATTCTCATCTCTCTGAGCATGAAAGAGGATGTCAGAGGGTTCCTGTGAGTTTTCTGTAACAGAAAGAAAGGCTGACATTTTGAAAGTACTTACAGGGATTGAAACTTTTAATGAAACAAGTGGAAATGATGCTGCTCAATCTCCTGAATGCGTCCTGAATGTTTTTACTGATGTGAGGAGGTGGTTTAGCAAAGGGATCCCCATTCCTCCCCCAATAGTCTGTGCCAGTTCTTCAAGAACAGAACTTTTGGGTCTCAGACTGTCAAAAGAAAAAAATACTGCTTGAGTGATGTAATTAATAATTAATGCCCATTATCCATATAATACCAGGAATAGACGTAAGTGCAAATCAGAGCAACTAGCTTGTGTGATCTCTACTCTAAAGGGCCTGCTTTGCCTCTGGCTGGTGCTGGCTTTCACAGGTGTAGCTTTGGGACTAAAGCCACTGTCCCAGTGTGCTGTGCAGCAGCAGAAGTCAGGGAGGTGGTCTGGGGCAAGACTGAGCAGTAGAAGCAGTGGGAGCAGGCACAGGTAGAGGAAGGAGAGTTACCAGTGTGGAGGAGGTGTGGAAAACCAAGCAGGGGAAACAGGGTTTCTTTATCCCCTGATAACGGGAGCTTGTGGCTTTCAGATGTGATCAGACCAGGTCCCACACTGGCTCCAGGCCCTCTGTTTCAGTTTTACAACACTGAAAACTTCAAACAGCCCTAATTATCCCCCAGTCTAGGAGTACCCTTTATTGCTGTTTAATCATTTTAAACTTTCTCTCTTCTTTTTTTTTTTATCTTTCCTACCTGCTTTCTGGAGCAGAAAATCCATCTAGTGAGCACTGGAGAAGGACCAGTTGTCTATGCGTATCCAAGCAAAATAAATTTTGGCAGTATCCAAGTTCTGCAAGATGCCTCCCGAACTCTCCACCTCTCCAATCAGAGTGTCATACCTGCATCCTTCAGGGCAACGATGGTAAGTGTCTGTGGGGCTGTTTTCCAGCAAAAATGACTGACAAGCAACCTGTGACTTGATTTTTATATGCAACATTTGCATATCACTTGATGATTGAGAAAGCAATGTATTCCATCACAATGCAGCAAGAGGAGCCTGGTCTGGGGGCAGTTTTAGCTGGGGGACCCCTGAGTAAAACAGAAAATTTGCATAGATGCTTGATCAGAAATGAGTCTGGATCAGTGTTGCAAGTTCTCCCTTTATTTTGTGGAAGGCATTTAGCTCTAAGAGTCATGTGTTTGGGGCTCTGAGACCAAGAGAACGCCGTGGCCCTTTGCTCCTGAGAGGGCATGGGTTTCCCTGTTAGATCTGCAAGAGTGATGCAGCTGGGTGCTTTTCCCGGAGGAAAAGCAGGAGGAGTTTGGTTGTCAAACCAGGTGGCCCTGATCTCCCGAGCCCAGCGAGGAAGTGCAGGTGGGATCCGGAGGGGTGAGCTATGGACCAGGGACACAAATGGAGACAAATTTTGTTAGCTCACTCAGCAGTCTGCTATTGGCTGAACCAAGCTTGGCAAGTTAGGCTCTGTTGTCAGTGGCAGTGAGTGCCACACTACTTTTCTTTTTTTAGAGGCTCTGCCTTTTGATTTCATAAAACATCCCCTTGATGGTGCTCTGGGGCAGAGGATAAACCAAAGTGGTCCCCATCCGTGCTTTTGCCGAGGAGATGCTGCTGCTGAGGTGCCAGGAGGTGGCTGGTGGTTGGTGGGAGCATCTAGCCAGCCTCATGCCCTGACCTCCACCTCCTGCTGGGGCTCGGAGTGGTCTGGGGCTCTCTTCTGACACTGGCAGTTTGTGCGGATAAAGAGTGGCTTTGAAATGAAGAACGCAGGGTTCCCCACCTTAGGACTGCTGAAACACCTGGGATGAGGCTCTGTGCACAACTGATGTGGGACGGGGTTTTATTTCCCCTTCATGTGCAGACTCCGTGAGGAGCGATGGGTTGGCTGACAGGTGTGAATGCTCCCTCGCTAGGGCTGTGGCTTGGTAAAGTACAGCTGCATTTTAATACTGAGTTATGCTTCCTCTTTCACTTGTGCAAGGCCAGAATGACCAGATCACTTAATTAGCTAGCTTTAAGCAGCTTCAAGAGAACTGAGTGTAGTGGCTTCTCAGTCATCCCTTAGGGCATCCATCCCATCCCAACCATCAATGCCATTCCATCCATCCATCCATCCATCCATCCATCCATCCATCCATCCATCCATCCATCTCTTAGATGCACAGTAGTGTCTTATATGCAAATTCTGGCAGCTCTTACTCACAATGGAAATCTGTCCTAGGAGAAGCTAATGATCTCAGCATTGAACTTCTTGAATAAGTGATTGATCCCCACCCTTGCCCAGCACTCAGGGACTCTGTGCAAGCTCCTGCAGGGACAAAAATAGCCACTGTTTTTGTCTATCCAGTGCACAGGGCTACTGGGGTGTGTTCTGGAGCATTCAAGGATAAGCGAGTAGCAGGGACGTTATCAGAAGTTAGATCGTGGTCTTCAAAGTGGGGGGAATTTTTAGCGTGGCTCCAAGAGATTCCTTGTCTCTGGGACGCACCCTGGATCCACACAGGCAGAAGCTGACCTGGAAACCTGAGTGAGTCTGGCCTGGCAGAGCCTTTTGGTCCCGGCAGGTCTCCTGTTCAGTGGTGCACTGTGCTGCCCCGTGCTGCCCCTTGGACCCACACCAAATGCTAACGGAAAGAATGAGGATACGATGCCATTCCTGCTCCTCTGGAGTGGGCTGTTGGCCCTGGCTCAACCTGGGTAATTCAAAGTCTGGCTCCATTGAGACAGCCTGTCGTTATTCCTCAGTCGTAGTTTCTTGGGTACAATTTACTGCCTGGCTTGTTGCCAAGCTTTGATAAATGAGTTTTGCCAGATAGCAGACATGCAGATTGACCTCTGGGGCAGAGCTACCGGGTCTCCTTTTCCAGTGAGCTACCGTGAATCAGAGGGCAAAGCTAACAGCCACCAGCTTGGTGTGAACGCCTTGGCTGGGTAGCCCTCGGCCTGTGGCAGCACGGTGGATCCTCTGAGGCTAGTGATGGGCTGCGCATGGGATGCAGGGGCAGCAGAGGAGGGTTGGTGGGATCCTGTGTGAGGCCCCAGAGTTTACCCTGTGCCAACAACCTTCCTTCATCCCATTCTCATCTTGCTTTTTTTAAGACTTTTGCAGCTCTAGAGGACAAATTAAATGGAGCAGAGTTGATTGATTTTGCCAGCACTTGGAATAATGTTGATGCCTTTGGCATGCTCCACCTGGGATGCAGGCGTGAGGACCCGACCTGCTCTCCATGCAGGGCACAGCCAGCCTAAGGAGCTATCCGAGTTGGGGCATCCTACACACGCTGCTGGGACGCTGCCTGCTCAGCAAGTTATTGCTTCCCTTTCCCCAGAAAGTCTTACCCTTGCTAGCAGAGGTCGCTTTGGGGGGTTATTTAAAATGCTTCCCAAGACTTCAAAGTGCTGCTTGGTTTTCTGATGCTCTTCTCCCTTGGGCTGGTTGGTGTCCTGTTAGATCTGAGTGCTGCCAGCCTGATGGACGGAAACTCGAGCTAACCTCACCTGGATCGAGCATTTGCTTGGATCATGTCAGGCCTCCAAGCACACTGTTGCTTTCCATTAAAAAATAAAAAGGCGGGGGGAAACCTCTTCTCTTACAATACCACAGAGTTTTGGGTGAGTAGTGCCTGTCACCCCAAACACAGCACTGAACTGTGGGGTGCAGGCATCACCACCACCACTGTGATGGACACTTGGAAGCCGTACATCTGCCTCCCTGTGCGTTTCCCGCTGGCCAGGGAGCACAGTGTGCGTTTTTTTCTCTGCAGGCTTGCTCCCTGGGAATGTGGTTTTAGAGGGGCTGGGGTCCAGCACCTTCACTGCCCCAAATGTGGAGGGAGGTCCATGAGAAACCAGAGGGAAGAGAGTGCTGGGAAGCTCCGGCCATGCCTACAGGGCACATGCCTTCCAGTTTGCTTTCTGCTTATTGCTTTACTGTCCTGCTATGAACATTTATAGCTGAATTTTCCAAAGCAGAGGGCACTTGGGCACCTCACTGCAGCTGGTGATCAGTGGGAACCGAGTGCTTCAGTTCTTCGGGGGCTGTTGAGAAGCACTGAGTAACTCTTGGGAAAGAAGACGTTGGTGTCAGGGTTTTGATCAGCCGGTTTTGCTGAGTTACTCTTCAGGCTCTCAGCAGTATCCCCCAGGTGTGGCTGCTGCGGTGGGATTTGAGCAGTCCTGTCTTCCTCTGGCCTTGAGCCTTTATGCCAACCCAGCCACCATTGTCAGGAAACCAGGAGAGGTGAAGTAGCTTCCCTTGGCGTGTGCTCCAAAAGAGAGACTGGAGGAGGAATAACCTCCTCCTGAGGATGAGCATCCCTTGGGTTGGGCAACACTGGGTTAATAAAGTGAGTCTGTTAAAGGAAGGTAAAATACAGGTTGTAAAAGCTCCTGCATAGTTGCTGTTTCCAGCTTGGATTTAGGGAAATGGAGCCTCTCTGGTTTTTATCCTCATATCTTCAGTCCTTCTTTTTCCTGCACCCCACAAGAGCCCAGGGTCCATGGTTTCCATGCTAAGTTAGTGTTTGGCTTGTCTTACAGGCTCGCGAATCCTCATGCTGGAGGATTGAACCCAGTGAAGGAGTGATTCCCCCTGAGACAGAGGTGTCTGTGGCTGTCATAGCAAGCTTGGATGACACGAAGAAATTCAAGGACGAGGTGAACCTGTTCATAGAGAACAGCCACACCTACGTTATCCCCATCCGGGCTGTTGGCATTGGCACCACGATTGTTGCCGACAAACCCTTTGCTCCGGAGCTCAACTTGGGACCACACTTCAGGTAGGGTATCTCTCAGCTTCTGCCGTGGGCTCAGCAAGGAGCAGTTTTGCTGTAGTCCTTCAGGCTGGTGGTTCTTCAGCGCTCAAGGTCCTGGCTCTGTTTTCCTGAAGCCACGGGGCTTCCTTTAGAAACCTTCTATGGCCATTTGAAAGTTGTTAGATACCCTCAAAAGCCACCAAAACGGAAACCAGTTGTTAAATTGTCACTGACTTGTCTTTAGTTATAATACATATATTTCCTCACTTGAACAAAAAGAGATTTGGAGGAAAACAGCAGGTCCTGGAAGCCTCTGAGTGGAAGATGCTACATCACAAGTATAAACATTTCCCTTTGCAATAATGTTGCTTGTTTTTCCCTTCCCTGCAGAGTATCATCTGGCAACAGCAGAAAACCTTGGTGGTAGCTTGTTAGCAGGTCCTTGACTAAATTAATGGTGCTGTTTTGTTTGCCCTCTGCCCAGTAGTCCTGGAGGAGCAGCAGAATTTCTTTGCCCCCTGTCATCCCTCATTTGCTCGCCTTCCCCGTCTCCCCTGCCGGGCTGCTCTTCATCAGACCGAGTTGCTCTGCCCTCGTCTCTCCCACCGGCTTTCCTCGGCGTCAGCACCGCAGAGGAGCCTGAGGCACGGGCAGGTGAGGGTGGCACTGGACCAGCTCTGGAAGGGAGAGGAGGAGAAGTCCACTGAGTTTGGGCAGGATAAATGGAAGTTGTTAATTAAAGAGCTTAGCTCAAAGGAGGGGGTTCACTGGTCCTAACGCCTCTGTCTGACCAGGCCTGTTCCTGTAAATGGGATAAAAATAAGCCTTTTCAAAGTGCTGCCTGCTTTGTGTTGGACACCTCTTAGGATGAGAAGAATAGTCTTTTTGAGGTGCCTGTTCCTTTCCCTGGCTGCAGAGTGTCCACCGTGGTCCAATCCCTAAATTTGGGGGCAGAAAGAGCAGGTTGATCCTACTCTTTAGGACAGATTTTGGGGGTTTAAATATGTATGCACAAGCCACCCACATACGCAGGGACATTGCAGGGAGGTTGGTGCTTGTCCAGCGTGTCCTGTGCTCTGTGCAGCCACAAACTGGCTACCCAACGGAGTGGGTGATGTCAGTGTGATTTGTGTCATGGTCCTCTGCCCACCTTCACGTCTTGCTCTGCAGACTCTGGAGTTGTTGCCTTTGCTGTTGGCTGCAGAGCTGCCGCCAGGTGAGCTGAGACGAGACCCAGGTAACATCTCAGATGAGTTGGGCTTTCCCAGAGCCACAAATTCTGCATCCACCCAGAGCTTCTCCAGGCTCTCATCTGTGCTGTCCACCACAGAAACCATTTCACACTAAGCTTGTACGCATCATGTTTTGACAGTCTGTTTCAAAGGCTGGTTGGTTCTCTACTCTCGGGTCTGTGCATTTAGCTGCTTGTGGCAGACATGCATTTTGTAAGCCATGTATTCTGTCCTTTTCAAAAAAACAGTAACTGTTCCAGGAACAATTCACGTCCTGGTCATGCTCAGATTTATAGAAGGTAAAGACGAGCCTGCAGTTAGTGTTTCTTTACATGAAGAAATCAATTTCCATTGAGTATTCATTTTGGTTTATATCTAGCTCTAGTTATTCATCTCTCATCGTTGCTCCATCCCCTCAGCAGCCAGACCTGGTCTTGCTGCCGTGTTTGATTTGGAGAAACTTCTGTTGATCTGTGTTCTCACAGTGCATTTATCTTCCTAAACCACAACACCAGCTGCACTGTTCAGGCAAAGGACGATGTGTTCGGGGTGATGAGTTTGGATGCTCCCTAAGGGACTGGGAGTGCCAGGGCAGGGGCCCTGCCAGCGAGGCAAGGGGTGCCCAGGTCACCGGAGGGTCTCTAGGCTGGTGATGCTCTGTCTGCAGCAGCTGAGATGATGATCTTCATGCAGCTCTTCCTTGCTGTACGCGAACAGAGCAGCTGCTGGATGCTGATAAACTTAGGGGCAACCAAGGTCTGGCTTTTGCTGAAGCTTTGAGCTAGGTCAGCCTTTTTGGAGGTGCTTTTATTGCTGAGTGTGCAGTCGGGTAACGCCATCGGGATGCTGAAGCTGGGTGACCGCTGGGAGATAGCAGCTCCCATGACTTTTTCCATCTCTTTTCCCTTCCAGCCTGGATCCCTGCTGTTACCGCTTCAAGATAACAAACAAAGGACGGCGCACCCATTGGCTCTACTGGTCAACAGCAGGTTCTGGCTCGTTTCGCCAGCGTCATCGTGTCCCTGCTGTCAGCACCAGCAAGGGCCAAGGTTCCTCCCAGAGCCCCAGACCTGCCCGCCCTGTGTTTAAGGTTCAACCACTGAGCGTGGAGCTGATGCCGGGCAAGACTACGGAGATGGTGCTGGAAGGCTTCTCCAGCACTCCTCAGGTGAGGTCCCCCCAAGGGCTGAGCCTTCCCCATCAGGAGCAAGTGCTTTCAAGAAACTGTTCTAACAGCACAAGCTACCATGGCAGCACCAGCTTTCCTTGATGGCCACCATCAGTTCCTAAGGCTTTTTCATGTTTCCATGGCTACCATAAACCCAACCTGCTGATACCAAAACACGGACTGAAGGAGATATTGCTCCTTCAGGGGCAAATGGCAGGTTACAAGGTGTCATGTGCTGAGGCAGAAAGGAAGGGCAGAGAAAATAAGTTACGCTTAGACTAGGAGCACAGGCAGAAAGTGCCAAGTAATGTATTTGGGGGAAGCAGTGAGTAAAACAAAACACCTGTGAAGGGAGGGAGTGTCTGGGAGTAGCATCATTTTTCCTCTGTAGACAAACATGGGCAGAGGGCTTGTCTAGCACTGAGTCCTGAAGCAGAAAAATGAACACAGTGTGTCAGCTGTAGTGATTGGGTGATGTTCATCTACTTGGAAAGTTGTTTGCAGGGATCATTATAATTGACAGCTTGACTTTGTCAATATTTCCATAACGGCTCGCCCCAGTCTCTCAGCCAGTCCCAGGGTCCCAAGGGCAGCCAGGTCTCACAGCACCCTTGGATGGCAGCTCAGAGGGGGAGATTTCAGCAGGGTCACGGGGTGTTCTCCTCCCTGACCCTTCCTTCCAGGGCAATCCTACTCTGCAGAGAAGCTGCCAGCTAACCCTGGTGTGCATTCCCTCTGTCCAAGACTGCTGGGCACAGATGTTCAGGCGAATGTGTAATAAACCTGCATCGAGCTCCTGCTGATACTTGTGTTTTGAAAGGTGTTTTAAAGGGCTGCCTTGGTAGGTAGCTTGAGGAATATTTGATTACTCACCTAGTTGACTACGATGGGAGTGTCTCTGTGCAGTTTGGAGCCCAAAGGTTTTGTTGAAGCAGGGAAAAGAAAGGAAATAAAGTGATCAGGGTGCTGGAGAGGCTGTCTTGCCGGGAAAGCCTAAAGGGGATCTGTGAGCTGAACTGTGGCTACCTGACTCCTGCAGTCAAAGCCAAGACCCTGCGAGTGGGCTTTCCACCTTCCTAAGGTCTTGAGAACTTAATACTCTTGATGTCGGTCAGAAGCCCAACTCCCTGCATCGCACATGCAGCACAGATGGTTTTGAGTCTGTAGGCTCTGAGGAGGAGTTGTGGTGTTGTAGCAGAGGGATGAGTGAGAAATGAAGGGAGGAATTTGGGGAACTGAAACCATGAGAAATCAGGAAAAAGTCTTAAGTGTAAGAGCATCCAGCTTAAGCAGAGGGTTTTCTTGTGAACTGCAAGACATCTTTTTTCCTGGGGAGGTTTCTTTTAAAACCAGCTCTAGGAGGGCACAGTGCCTGCTAGGAATGAGTGCCCCCCTCTTTACCTGAAGGCAGTCATCCTATTTGGGTTTATCCCATGGATCCTGTCCTCTAAGCTTCCAAGGGATGGTTTGCTAGCATTGGCCCTTCTGTCACCTGTTTCCCTTAATATAGTTGCATTTTTAAAAATTTTTTTTAATCAGTTCCTACAGCTTTCTGTAAGTATTATGCTTGGCAGGGGGACAAATCAAAACAGTAATAATTTGGGGCAGGGACTATTACAGTTGTAGGCAGCACATGACTCACAAGGGCTTTTTGTGGATAGTGGGGTGTGGCATTACAGACGTTTGAGAGCAGAATAAATAGGATAAAAAGAAAAGGGGGCTGTTGAGGAGCCCAGTGACTGTAACTTGATGGCGGTAATAGGGTCTGAGATTGGGTGGGTAGCAAACTCAGTGCATTTTGGGGACGCCCTGCTGGGCCCTGCTGGGTGACTTGTGACGACTCCATGCAGGTGGTGAAGGAGCGGCTGCTGTGCCACGCCGTCGTGGGGAGGAAGGCAGAGAAGGCTCCGATAATGGAAGTGGATGTCACCTGTGAGTTCATTGCTCCCATCCTGCAAATGTCCTCCAGAGAAATCACTTTCCGGGTGGAGAAGGTAAGTCTCTGGATTTCATCCCGGCATTGAAGAGCATGGCTGGTGACTGAAAGCCTGGTGGGGGGTGTGCTTGTGTTCAAAGGAGGAAGTTAAGTGGCTTCTCCAAGTCCCTGAGGCTTTGACTATTGAGCTGAGCGGGACCAAGATTTTGCCATTAACACCGAGATCACTATTTCGCTTCTCTGGGATCAGGAGCAGTCCCACCAGCTGTATTCTGCCTTTTTGATGTGGAGACAGAGTTGAGCTTCTGAGCCAAGGGCACAGGGCGAGATGTGTGGGACCCACGAGAACAGCGTGGGCTTTGCACAGCCACCTCGTGTGCTGGGGCTGAGGTGGGCAAGCAGAGTGCTGCAGCTGAGCGATGCTAAACCCCCTCCTCACCCTTCCTGAGGGGCTTTGTAAAGTAAGTGAGAGTGTTTTTAGAGATGGGACTGGTTTTTAACTTCACCCAAGGAAAACAGAACAGCTGCTCTGCCGAGGGGGATCATGGCTACTTCTAGAGAGACACCAGTTCCTGTACTCGGTGTGAAGGGAGGCTTCTGGGGATCCTCCAAGGCACGGTGATATCTGAACACTGATCCTGTAGGGAAGCTGAGAAGAACTGAGATTCCTCTCTCCAGCTCTTCAGGCTGATGAGAAAAACCTGTCATTTTGTCTGTTTGCCTTCTCTGCTCTTGGCATGGATGGTAGCTCTTTGCAATTCCCCAAGCTTCACCTTCTTCAAAGGACCCGCAGACATCCTTTAGCTGCAGTGATGATAACACCAGCACAAAGCAGGTGCCCCTTAGCCTCTGGATCCTGACTCCTGCATCACCTTTCCCTCTCCCATGAGGTGTCTGAAAAAGAGAAGATATTTCATTATTTAGTTTCTGTGTTTTCAGGTCTCTCCTCTGGTTCCCAGGCTTCCAGAGAAGCATAAAATCCTGTGAGTGGGTAGTTTGGGTTTAATTAATTAGAAGCTTTTCAGCTGTCCCTGATGTCTGCCTGTGGTCTGCTTGATGCCACGCGCTCAGATTTATTGAGTGTTATGACACTGCAGCTGTTTGATACATCCAGAACAAGTTGCCCAAACACTGTCTAGTTTATATAAACCATGCAGAAAGCCCAGAGCAATGCATAAACAGGAAGAAATAGCTTAGGCGGAGCTGAGCTTTGAGGCTACAGACAGCTTGTCACTGGAGCAGGGGCAGCAGGACACCCGTTACAGTCCAACTGTTGAGGTTTCTTGCTGGCTGTATGTGCCTGTAGATGCTCAAAGCCAACCTTAGGCTGCTGCAGGCTCTCCGCTATGGGCCAAATCCTGCTTGCTTTTCTCCTCTGACCAGCATCACTGCTCTTATGAGGCTACTAGAGCTGATAAGGCTGTAAGAAATGACTGTATGTGAGTGAAAATCATCTTGTGCCGTTCTTCTCGAGAGGATACAAAACGGAGACAAGTGCTCTGGGTTCAGTTTCTGCTATTGGTCTTGTTCATGCAGCTGCCTCCTCTCAGGGTCCTATTCCCTCCTCTGTATATCAGAGTGTTTCCCTGTCCCCGGGGGATGCTGTGGTTTCTAAACATGAAAGGTTCTGATATACTTAGAGAAAAACCACCTAGAAGGATAGAAACTAATAAAAATAGTAAATAGAGGTGTATGCACTTCTGGGGATGAAAAACTTGAAATGCATCAGAAAGGGAAGGAGTTCCATGGCCACTTCACGTGTTTTTTCCCCTTGTGTTCTGTTTCTGTAGCAACCCAGTGATGTCCTAACTCTGCAGCACCAGCCTCTTTCTTTAAGAAACACCTCCGCCCTGCCACTCAGCATCATCCTGGCCTTAGAGCAGCCCTTCTTAATCTGTGACGCGGAGCGGCAGCCCCTCTCTGCAGACGCTCAGGTGAGCAGCCGTGGGCCTTCCCACTGTGGGATTTGAAGAGGGGGGGTGTGGTGGTACGTTTCTGTTGGGAGGTCCTCTAGTAGAGAAGTTTATTCTTTAGACTCAGCAGTAGACTGGCCTGAACTAAATCAGATTTGAAACAAGCTGCTGAAGGAAACGAAATATCATCTGAACTGGGCTCTAAGACATGAGGAGAGGGGAGCAGGCAGCTAGGCCTGGGCACGCCGTGTATAACGGTGTCTCTTTGGAAGGTATCGAGCACTCCAGCAGCCATTCTCAAAAACCCTCCAGAGCAGCTGGCTTTCTTCAGGGGCAGCCCTGCCTTCAGGAAGGCTGAGGAGGCTCCTCCAGCCGCTGCCTGGCCCCTGCCCTGTTGTTGGTGGAAGCTGTTGGACGTGGGCTCTGCTAAACGCTTGTTGTAGGCATGGCCACCACTTCTGTGCTGTGCCAATGACTAGCCCCTGCAAGAGTGAGGCTGCAGTGCCATGCTGCTTGTGCTGGGAGGGCAAAGCAGTTCCTCTAGAGCTGGGGCAAAAGGCCCTGGTGTGCCAAGTGCTGATTTAGTTGTGTATTTAGCACATCGCTCCTGGGGGTCCTGAATTCAGCAGTAGAATATTTATTTTCCTCGTGTATTGATGCAGAGCACAGTGAGATGAGCCTGAGATAGTCTCAGACAGAGCATGGTGGGGCTTGCAGTCAGGCACACACTGTGAAGAAAACGCAGGATGAACTGAGAAGCCTATGCTGGGGTCACACGTTGAACATTTCCACGTTTCGTGCTGCCAGACCTTGGGACTTCATCACACTGGTGATTAATACTCTTCATTTCCTTGCAGCCCATGAAGCTGGAGATAGGGGAGGAACTTCATCTCTCCATCAGATTTAACCCTGCTTATGAAGAGGATTTGTGTAGCCGGGTAGTGGAGAAGGTTCTCAAGATACAGTTTCTTGAGCATCCTCATGAGGAGCAGGTCACCATTCGGGGGGAAGTCTACTTCCCAAATCTCCATATCCAGCCCACAGCCCTGGACTTTGGCTGCCTCTTGAACGACACCGAAGGTGTGCGTTACATCGAGATGACCAACTGCAGCCCGCTTCGTGTCCAGTACAACTGGTCGTTCCTGATGGACAGCCGCGTGAGACAGATGAGGTATGTGCCCCTTTGCTCTCTCCTTGAAGCTCTTCTCCCTCGTGTCCTGTTTGTGCTTTGCAAAGACCAAGGCTGTTTGCCTGTGATCTGACAAATTGCTTTCAACTTTCCCTGGGGGAGTAACACCTCCCAGCCGTGGTCGGGCTTAGGTGCTCAGGGAATAAGTGATCACCAGTTTGACGCTGGGAAGGAGACAACGTTCTCCAGCCAAGCTGGTGCTGTGAGATGCTACCAACACTTCCTGCATTGTCCATAACCTAGAGTCCTGCTTTATTTCTGGAGCTACAAACCCATACCTAGGCACTGGGACAAGCAGATATATGATTTTTCTTCCCTGCCAACCCTATGTGTTGTCATTTTACACTAAGAACCTACACAGTCTCTTGCTGCTGCTTTACTGTAGCCCCCATGCTGGTTCCCCTGGGAAGGAAGGCTGGTGTTGGAAAGCTGCTTTCTCAGACCTTTGTGGCCTGAGGTGAACATCACACTGGCAAAGTGAATTTTCATCTGTTAAACTGCACATCACATGCCCCAAACAGCTATTTAGTGTCTTAAAGGGAAAGGGCGGGTTCTGCTGCAGCTGTGGGTGCAGCTGTAGGTGTTGGTGGGAGCACTTGTCTGAACGTCCTGGGAAACAGGGCCAGCCAGCACTGGGCTGTGGTTTCCAAGCCCAAGAGCAATCTTGCAGTTGTGCTGGAGCACATTTATCAACACATTTCTAGCAGTTCCTCCCACTGTGGCCTCTCTGCTTATTCAAAAGTCTAGTCTGGGCAGTTTTAATTACAGTAGCAAATGATTTTTCCATAGCGCCCGAGGAAAGCCAGCAAAGTTAACCATTGTGTGTTGAAGTGCTGCCGTTACAAATAGTAGAGATCATCAATAAACAGGTTTGTTTCGGGAATTTGGATCTGGCTCAGAGTAGACAACCTACTGGGAACTGGAGATTAGCTGTGGCTATGAGGAGAGCTCGGGGGAGAAGACCTGGGCATGGGGGTAGCCTGCTCACAGCCAGATCTTACCAAGTAACAACCAGTCTTTAGTGTGGCCCTTCTCGATGCACAGCACCTGCCAGAACAGACCCTAAAATGCAGAGGAAAGCCCACAAAAGCAGGTGGAGGGAGGTGGGCAGCGAAGGAGGAGCAGAGCTGTAAGCCCAGCCTGGAGGCCCCTGTCATCTCCTGGTAAATTAGATTAGGGTTTAGTTGCAAGCTAGAATGAAAATCTTATTTTGCTGATAGACCAATGCATATATTTTATAATAAGAGAGAAGCAAGCACATTACAGCAAAGCCTGTGTGGAATTAATTCTTCTAGGGCCACTTGCTGGACAGTTGCCTGTCTATCTTTATTCCTTTCTTTTTTTAGAACCAGGTTAAGTTTTTGGAAATGTGAATGCTGAATCAGTTTTCAGCTTTTAATTACCCCATCTCCACCTAAACTGACTTTGGACCCGAGCCTGCAGGTGCATGTTCTTCCAGGGGATGCTGAGTCACCCAACTCTGCTGAGTCGGGAGCAGTTGAGGGTCCTGAGTATCTGGCAGGATAGCAGCCTCTGCTCCGAAGGGTTTGGCATAGCCCCTTCACTGGCTCGTTAGCACTGGGGATGTTGTGGCAGCTCCCTTTTCTGCTCTGTATTTTAATTAAGCAGAAATGTACTTTCTGTGGGTCCCTCAGCAGACACCATGTGATTCTCCGTGGCAGAGCTGAAAATGAAGATGGTCTCCAAGCTACTAACACCTCAAGTTGCTCATTAAGAGCAACTGGCAGAAGGGCAGCATGTCAGATATTATTTCTGGTCCAATTAAGAACTGTTAGTATTCTAAATTATCAGATCAAACTCACCCAGTCTGACAGCAAGGGAATCAAACACCAGGTCTCATGAAGGTGAGATCAATAGAGTTTAACCATCCATCCATCTGACCTTGCTGCAGCCGATCATCAGTGACTCCCACCATCAATCAGACACACACGTTTATTTTGGCCAGGAGAGAACAATGTTCCTCTGCCTGGACAAGACTGTGTGCTTAGATCTTTTTTTGTCTTGAATTGTTCAACCTGTTTTTCCTACTTACCCTTTAATCACTGCTGCTACTTTGAGTAGAGCAATCACATAGGCGATACAGTCCAACCATTGCTGTGTGGTTGGAGGTGCCCAACTCACACCATCCCACGGCCCTTCTCTGGCACTGCTGAGCCATCAGTCTCTCATGGTGACTCTTCTTCTAGACCTCTGCATGGTTAGAGACAGACTGTGAACACGTTCTCCTCACCCCTTGGGCCTATGATAGCTCAAAGCTGACTTAAGCCTTTGCACCACGATGTTTTCTGCGGCGTTGGAATGGGTCACCAGAGTCACCCAGCAGGAGACTGTAGGTCTGGAGTCAAATTCAGACATTTCATCATACTTCTTACCTTAAAGGTTTCTTCCTGAAAGACTGCTTTGTCCCCCTTTCTAAGGGCGGTATCCAGCTCCTCAGCTTTGTTTGGGTTTCCCATCAAAGGGATGACATTAAATCTCAAAGGATATAGAAGGATTTTCTTTGAGACCTGTGACAAAAGCTGCCAAAGACTCATCACCAAACTTCACTGTTCTCTAGAGTTTTCATCCTCTATTAAGGACCTGTGCCTTGTCATTTACTTTGAGCATTGCTGTTCCTGCATCACCTCTTTGTCCCCTTCATGCGAGACACAATTCCTCCCTGGGACAGAGCTGACACACACTGAGCAGTCCGAGTGCCAGGATGGATCAGCAGGGAGCTCTGCCCCTCTGTGGCACGTGTCAAACCCCCTCTGTGTATTGATCTGGCGTGCCTGGAGAGTGGGGACTTCTTAGCTACAAATCCAGTGTAATGAATTGCCAGTAGATTCTTTGGGGAAAGGGTTTGTTCAGCTAAACATGTAGAAAATCACTCTTTCCTTTCCATCCAGGATTTTCTCAGCCAATGTGTTTTGAACCAACCAGGAGCCTTTCTCCTCCCAAGTGGATCTTCCTACAGCATTAGTAACTTCTCATTCCTCTGCTCTCTCTCCTTCCATCCCAGCCTTGTTACTGACCAGAAACCCCCAACTATGTTATATTTGATGGGGTTTCTGCTTTGTTGTTTTTGTAACAAGGAAGAAATGGAAAATGCAGGCAGTGAAAAACAGTGCAAGGTTAAAATCTGACAGCAGTCCCCTGTCAGCCAGCGGAGGGGAGAGGGAGCAGCAGCAGCAGCAGCCTGTCCATCTGGAATGCACCCATCCACCGTGCCCTCTTGTCTGGGGAGTCTCAGATGGGTGACAGTAGACCATACCCCCTCCTCATCCCCCCGGTGACATCAGCTCCTCGGGGCAGTACGTTTTGGGCTTTGGAAGCCCCATGGGTGCTACTTTTCCTGCTTAAAGCCAATGTTTTGGTCCCACAGTGGTTTCTTTGCCAAGGTTTTCTTTGGCCACAGCCACCAGCTCCATGTACTCTAGGAGCCACTCCATGCTGTGATAGGCTCCGTTAAATGAGCGTGTTATAAAAAAATCACTCTTATCCACCTGGTCCATCTCCTCATCCCTGAAAACAGCCACAGTGTGAAGACCTGCTGTTGCTACTGCCCTTGTAGCTGTGCAGGAGCATTGATTCATAGAATATCTCAAGTTGGAAGGGACCCATAAGGATCATCAAGTCCAACTCCCTGGTCCTCTCAGGACCACATAAAACGAAATCATATGACTAAGAGCATTGTCCAGGTGATCCTTGAACTCTGACAGATTGCCACGCTGCTCGCGGAAGCAGGTGGGTTGCTTTGCCAGCTCAGAGAACAAGTAGCAATTGGGTTAAGGCAGTATGGACCCCGTGTTCACACAGCCCAGGTGAGGACTTTGGGATGTCGGGGATGTATCACCATCAGTCTGTGTCTCCTGACTTGGACAGGGAGGCAGCCAGGGGCAAAGAGAGAAAACCTTCAGCTCTCTACAGCACAGCAGCCTGGGGAGGACTTCAGGTCCCAGGGAGATTTAATGGGGCTCTGCAAAGAGTGGGGCAGCGCAAAGAGATGCCCACCCCAGAGTTAATGGTGTGGGCTGGTGCCAGAACGACTGGTTTATTTCCCACCATCCGCTTCTTGTAGCAGGAGGCAGGAGTCCCTGGGGGGTTGGGCACCCCAAGGGTCCTTCTGGGCCAGGTGACATGTCATGCATTTTTGAGAGTGCCTGACTCAATTAATGCCGCCTTTTCAGCTGCTCTGCCCTCGGGAGAATCATATCTCTGTCTGTGTGAAACCCTTCCAACCGTGAGCTTGCTTTGCTTGCCTCCTCTTCAGTGGGACCTGTCACCTCTCCCTCACCCGCCTGCCTCCATCACCCCATAGCCGTCCCCAGCTGTCCCGGTGTCACCTGGACTAGGCCAATCCTGTCTGCTCGTCCCTTGCCCTGGCCCCAGGAGCTCAGTGGGGCCATTGGCCTCTGAGCACGTTTCCTGGGCGTATTTCTGCCTTGCTCTTGCTAAAGCAGGGGGTAATGATGTTGTGCTATGGGAGTGACCTTTAATAACTCAGCAGTGACATTAACCCACCTTTTACACAAGGTGAAAGCCACGCACAGCCTGTGCTGTGATTTCTGCTGGTGCAACAAGCCCTACTCCTTCTGGACACGGAATGGGTGGCAGTGCTGGCGTACTCAGCGAGGTGGAGCTTCAGCGTCTGAGTGATCTGGGGATGTGACCCTAGGCAGTACATGAAACTGGAGCTTGTTTGAGTTTGATTCTCTTTCTGCCTTAGAGTTATCATTGCTGCTTTACCTTCTCCTGTCTTTCCCTGCGGTGACCCGCTGTAGAGCCCTGTTGGGAGGTTGTGCTGTGGCATCGCTGCCCACCCCGGGCATGCTGGGCAGCCTGCACCAGTGTGGGCCGGTGGAGACACTTCCTGGGGTTCAACAGATGCTGTCAAGAAGAGCAGAGACATTTCCTTCTACGTGTTGGACTTCAGGACATGGGCCATCATTGCATCTCCCTCCTTTTCCTTGCTCTGCTCT